CTCTATTCTGCAAGGTGAGACCTCACCTGGAGTAATGCATCCAGATGTGGAGTTCTCAGTACAGAAAAGATGTGGACCTGTTTGAACATGTCCAGAAGAGGGCTGCAAAAATGATTCTAGGGATGGAACACCTCCCCCTCTACGAGGACTGGCTGAGAGCTGGGGCTGTGCAGCCTGGAGAAGAGAAGGCTCCGGGGAGACCTGAGGACAGCCTTTCAGTATCTAAAGGGAGGCTATAAGAAGCAAGGGGACAGACACTTCAGCAGAGTCTATTGTGACAGGACAAGGGGAAATGGATTCAAACTAGAAGAGGGGACATTAAATTGGCTATAAGAAGATTTTTATACTACCGGCGCAAGCTGCCCAGAGAGGTGGTGGATGCTCATCCTTGAAAACATCCACTGTCAGGCTGGACAGGGCTCTGAGGTGTCCCTGTTCATTGCAAGGCAACTGGACTAGATTGCCTTTATAGGTCCTCTCCAACTCAAAAGATTCTATGATGCTGTGAAGCTAAACAGCAGGATTTTGGTTACACTGTGAAAGCATATTCAGTTTTAATATTTGCAAATGTGTGCGAATTCAGCTCATCGTATGTATGCCTGTTGGACAGCTGATGGAAGTTTTCATCGAAACTTCTGTAGAATATACGTAATTAACAAGTCAGAAATGACACCAAAACAATTTCATTCTTCCTCAAAACAGCAAAAGTAGTAAAGATTCAGTCATACAAACTAAAAGTCAATCGAATTCCAGGCTTCAGAGTATAATCTCTTGACCTTCAGAATTCTAATCGCATTTCACTTTCCACGTACAGCACATGACATTACAAGTTCTCTAATTTACTCTGAGTTATCAGGATCTGGACCCAGCCACAAGCAGGCATTGTGATGTGACAAACCTCAGGTAAACCACAAGCTGACAGTTCTTTTCAGCACCTCACAAACACTTGTACTGGTAAAGGGTTAGTTATCTGTTAAGTCTGTTTATCAGAAAATACTTATCTCACTAGTGAGAATTTAGTGTAACAAAATTATCATTAGATCTTCTATTCATCAAAATCTGTTATTAACGTTTGTCTGTTTTGTATGAGGATTATAGGCTCGTTTTATACAAGGATTTCAGTCTTCAGAAAAACGATATGGTATGTGAGGCTGCTCTTTACCATTAATTTTGAATGAAATTATTCTGATTTCATAGTATGCTGCAGCATTTAGTATTTGCTCTGTGGTAGTAATCGCTATCAGTACTCACATTAACTACGTTTTATGATACCTGTGTCAGGTGGATACAAGCATTTTAAAACCAGAAAAGAAGAAATATACAATGCTTTGGGGAAAAGAGAAGTTTTGCAAATCCCCAAGTCAGTATTTGAGATGAAATTATTGATGAAGTACTGACAAAAAAGGCCATAATCCTGATGCTGTTTCCTTAAGTCTTTATAGAAAGAATCCTGCAGTCGAATCCCTGATTTCATGCGAAGGGAAGCACAAAAAATACTCTGTAGAGCTCATGATTGTCAGGAAAGCATCAGCAGAGCAGTTCCAGCAACTGATACACATCATCTCAGTCAGTGCCAGCCCTGCTGAGCTGCACAGGTAAGCGACACATGACATCATGAGTGACAATTTCTGGGTAAAATATTCCTAATCATTTCCAATTGCACACGGCCAACAAAAAAAGTCTGCCAGCAAGTCAGGCTAGCAGGAGGGAGACAAGAAAAAGAACGTGACAAAGCTTGTAAAAAAAGTTTCAATATCTCTTACTACCACAGTGTGGTACATCAGTGTGTTTCTTTTTTTCCTGTTAATATTGACAAGGTCAGATATAAATCTGTAACTGGAAAAAGAGCTTCCTGATGGGAAAGACATGAAGAGAGTGGCTCTCCTTGTTCACCTCTCCAGCCCTCCCCACACATATGCATCCTGCTGAAATTTCACACACAAAAACAGAGAACAAGATTGAAAGGACACAAAGTGGGCAGGGAGATATAGATGGTTTTAAAAGTAAACAAGGTACAGAAGACTGGAACCATTCTGAAAAAAAAAAGAAGAAAACAAAACAGACGGGCTGTTAAAAAGAAAGAATGGAATGGACTGGCAGCAACGAGCATAGAATATCACTTATTGTTAATGCAAAATGAAAGCTAAAGTGCAACTACTTAAGGCTTCTCTTAGTCATATTGTCAAAGAAGAAAGGCTTTTAAGGCAGAGCAATCATCATGGCTAGCTTGTTCATCTCCTTTAACCGGGATGTACAATGCATACACCAGCAGCATCAAGGAGACTTTAAATGTCACTGTAAAATATTTACTGGAGAAGTGTTTTAAAAGCACTAAGAGTTTTTAAAAGGGGCTCATTCTTCTAAAGGATGGCAAAAATTAATTCATTCAAGTTGTAATGAACTCTCAAAACCAGAAACAGCTTTGCTCCATTAGAAAACATAATACTGAACATACTTCACTCAGAGGGTGGTGATGCACTGGAACAGGCTGCCCAAGGAGGTTGTGGATGCCCCATCCCTGGATGTGGCTCTGGGCAGCCTGGTCTGGTGACCCTGCACATGGCGGGGGGGTTGAAACTAGATGATCTTTACGAACCTTTTCAGCCCAGGCCATTCTATGATACCACACATAAACTTGGCCTATTTATGAACCAGATACTTGAAATTCCCCTTTTCTAGCCATATTAAGCCTTGCATATAAACTCTTCCTTCCCATCATAGAAGAATTGATCAATGACAATTCAGAGGTGTAAGAAAGTGGTTATGTAAGTGGGACCTAAGCCCAATCCAGACAGAGACACTGAGAAGAATCAGAGTGACTTCAAACGCTGGGAAGGCATAGCTCCTACAGAGGATTTCTTTCCTTCTGTTATAACATAAAATATTCATGTTAATTCGCTGCACATCAGTGCAGTTGTATACTCCCCTGCTTTCAAACATTCAAAGGAAAACTGCCTATTCTCTTGAAACAGTCAGCTTTCTTCTACGGATTCATATCTTCACTATTCACCACATCAAATCTATGACTGACAGTTTTTACCTTTCAGAAATGCCACTCTCTCTGTTTCAGAAAGATATTAGCATATGTACTTTTGATGTGCTACAAAACTGGCTTTTTAGAACTGATATAAGTGTGCTAATGATCTAGTAGAAATACATAAAAAGGCTATAAAAGCTGATGAAGAGTTTCAAGTTGATGGGCCGGATCCAGCATGCAAGAACAACCTGCTCATCCTCCAATAGCAGTCTCTGCTTCCACCTTCCCAGGAGTCCCCAGATACGTGGGGGAGAGGCTGAGAGCTGGATGAAGCAATCTCACAAGCTGATTACTACTGTTTGGTCCCAAAGGTCCTACAACTCCCCTGCCCCAGCCCATCATACAAGGGTGCATTCTTCTGAAAGCTTTTCAGCTGGGAACTGATTTAATCCAAAGCTGAAGACTATGTGAGACAGCAGCTTCTTAAACATAAGTTTTGACTCAAGTGGTGATAACAGTAATTATCCCACAATTATTTCTGTAAATACAGTCTCTTACTACCCTTTTTGCACCAGACATCAGGCTTGCTGACAGCTCACTGCTGCACTGTCCTCAGCAAAGATGTTACCCATTACATCCCCTCCTTGGTACATTTGAAATGACACCACGCTGCTAAATTAGTTCATTCTGGTTTTGCTGCAGTGTTCTTTGTTACAAGAAATGACTGGCTCGGAAGTATCTATTCTTGATTCATCTTCACATCCCCTTTATCTCTCTGCACAGGGTGAGACAATTACAAATGTACTTACTGATTGATGTTACTGTAAAAATACATTACTGGGGAAAAACAGCTTCTGAATAGGAGTCTCTAACTACATAAGTCCCTTATGGTATACAGTGATGGTTCTGAGTTGAGTGGAGTTTTTTGTTTGTTTTTAAACAACACAGGTATTCTGAGTTTGCTCATTAATTAATTCTGATGTACTTACTATAATCTTTTTTTCCTCTTCCATTGGAATGGAGGGCAAAAAAAATAAAGGGAAGAAAAGCAGACTAAAGAAGTACCTTCAACAATACATACTGCCTTACTTGTACTTTCATTCTAGCCTTGGTATGGTCAGACAGTTCCAGTAAAACCAGTGAGTCTGCACAGGTACAGTCCACATCCTGTAAGCTACCAAAATATTACACAGCCCAAAGGAAACTCGGTGTTAACTGTGAGCATCAAAACCCAAGAATGCCCACAGTATGGCTTGCACTGGCTACTGGTAAGAAGTGAGTTTTAAGATAATGCCCTGCAAAGGAAAAATATAGCAAACTGAAAAATACAGGAATCTGCCTACAGGATCTGCCAGGAAAAGAAATTTGTAAAGGGGAAGCCATGCCTTCAGATGTTGGTTACAAAGATGAAAAAGAAATGCAGAGTTCAACACTGATGGAGCAACATATCTTTTTCCGGCAGTTAAGACCAGATCATGTAATACAACCAGTAATAAAGATCTACTTGTTAGATGAAAATGGGCAGCAACTAAAATAAAGGGGAGTCTTCCCCCTCCCTTGTCTAAAAAGTGAAGATGCTCAACCATTTTTGGCATGTGAATTCTTTTCAGCTTCCACTTGGCGGGCATTATCCAATTTTAGTATTTGATTAGTTTTGTTGTTTATTTTTAAAGCATTACCAACTGACTTTGACTTTGCAGCACATGGAATACAATTTTATTAATCATAAATTTAAATACAAATTTAATATAATTGCTAACATGATTAATTTTATATTTGACTTTTGTGTTCTCATATTTTCCAAGCTGAAAGTAAGGAGAGCTCTAAGCATAAGTACAATGATAAGCAAACACTGCATTCACCACACAGGTGTCCAAAGATGAAACAAGTTCAAGAACATTAAGGGCCCAATAGTGAGAAATCTACTGAATTGATTTGGAGGCAGAGAATTCAGCAACAGGCAAAATATCTCATCCCAAACATAACTAAGTTAGGTTAACATACTTCACAAAATAAAGCTTACCTGACCGTTTTTCCCCAGTTCCATTTCAACTATTGCAACTGGAGTATTTATCTGATCAACATGTCTTGACTGTGACTTCAGATCCACTCTCCAGTTCATGTTTTTCAAGACGTTATCCCAGCGGCTTTGATTTACCAGGCTCTCATGGATCCTCACTCGGTGGTTTTTCCAAAATTTGGCAATGACCGCAGCTTGATCCGACGTGATGCCGCCTTGCTTTTTTGTTTGGGCAGTGAGAAAAGCTTCCAGCTGATTCAAATCCATATCAGCTGAAGCAATTGACTGTAGGGAAAACAGGAGAAGAGAAAGGGAAAAGCTTGCTTACAAGTACTCTTTAAAATTCTAAGCTGAAGGTTGTATCTTTAGGGCTTTACAAATGCATTTTTGAAGGATAGCAGAGGCAAGTCTCAGTCACGGAAATAACAACTTCCATTAGAACTCATTTTGCAAGCGCCTACGCTACTTAACCCAGACTCCTGCCTCAGGACAGCTGGATCTCTTACAATGAGGAGAAAACTGGGAATTCCTTCGGATATGAAGCACACGGTAGCAAGAACGTTTTCACTGCAAGCTCAGCCATATTCTTCAGTGTGCCCTAGGGATACCAACTGGTCTGTACTGGGTGGCTGGGGCAGACATCTGGGGTGATACTGCTGTCCTGATGGCCTGTTAAACAGGAAGGCACAGGCATGCCTTCGGCCAAGGTTGGGACAAACTAGGAGAAACCCCAGCTCATTACGATATTCACAATTTTTCCACCAATGTTTCTAAGGCTGATAATTCTATATAGCCTTAAGTTAGCATTGCTTAACTGGCAGTGGTTGCTAAATACAGCTTTGAAGAGAAGAGAAGACAGGATGTGAAGGGAGGAAACTGTGGTTAAGTTTTCTCACTGTCATTTCAAGCAGACACTTGTTTCATACTCACACAAAATGGACGTGACTCATCTTTAACAAACATGCTGCCTCCAAGCACGCATGGATACAGAGCACAACAAGGAGATACAAGGCTAAAAATCTTGGGACTTGTATCAATTTAATTTTCCTTGATGCTGTATTCCTGCTGTTGTACTCCCTAGGTTACCAGTAAGGTACAAAGCCCTTGGTCTGAAATGCTCCTGGTTTAACACAGGACCACTAAATACCTTACAAGGGATGCCTGCAAGATATCTTGCACTGAATTGCAAGGGACCCACAGGGATCACCAAGTCCAACCCCCACCTCCAAACTGCACCACCCAAACCCAAAGTCTGAGAGCAGTGTCCCAGTGCTCCAAGTCCTGCCAGCTCATGCTGTGACCATCGCCCTCTGGGGCAGAACCTTTCCCTAAGCTCTCCGCAGCACAGCTCCATGCTGTTCCCTCCACACAGCAGAGCTCAGCGCTGCCCTCCGCTCCCTGTGAGGAGCTGCAGCCACCATCAGGTCTCCCCTCAGCTCCTCTGCTCTGCACTGAGCAAACCCGGGGGGCCTCAGGCACTCTGCATAGACCCTTCCTCATCTCTGTAGCACTCTGCAGAATCCAGCACTTGCTATCATTGAACTTCATACAGTTGACCGATTGCCCAGCCCTCTAATTGGTCTAGATCTCTCTGCAGGGCTTCCCTCCCCTTAAGGGAATCAACAACTCTTCTCAATTTAGTATCATCAACACAGTTGCTCAAAACCCCTTCTAGTCCTACATCCAAGTCATTCATAAAAACACTGAAGTGCCCCTACAACAGAGCCCTGCAGAACCCCAGCAGTGAGCAGCCACCAGCATGGTGTAACCCCATTTAATGTAACCCATCAGCCAGCTGCTCACCCATCGCACAATGGTTTTGCCAAGCTGTATGCCAGGCATTTCGTCCAGAAGAACACTGCGAGAAACAGCACAAAAGCTTTGCTGAAATCCAAAGAGATTACATCAACTGGCTTCCCCAGTCAGTGAGATGGGTAACCTTGCCACAAAAGGAGATTAAGTTGGTTAAAGAAGACTTTTCCCCTTGTGAACCTATGCTGGCTGCAACCAGTGACTGCACTGTCTTTCAGGTGTTTTTCAGCAACTCCCAGAATAATCTTCAGCACTTTCCAAGCAAAACAAAATATACCGGCACCTTTTAAAGCTGCTGTTCAAAACGAGGCCTAGCATGGAGGCAAGACCTGCATAGTGATGAGCAAAGTGCCAATCTCACTCCCAAAGCCTCCCAGTAGCAAGGAGGTGACTGTAGCAGCCAGCCAACAGAGCACAAAGCACACAACCCTCATCACATCAGGACAGTCTGAAACACAACAGCAGATTAAAAACAAGAAGAAGCCCCGAACAAAGAGCTCGCACATCATGCAAGTGGCACAGAACAGCAGCAGGAGGTTTGCTGCTTGGAAGCAACTGAAGCCAACAATAACACACACTTATCTCCAGCAGATACACCACATCCTTTTTACTGTGAGTTTATTCAAGAGAAAAGCAAATCAAAAGCAATCAAAAGCAAATCCTCCTCCAAAACACAACACACACCTTGTGATCTGCAACAGAGTTCAGCCTTTTAATCACCCAGCATAAGATCCGCCTCCTGAACCTGGGGTACTGTTTAATTTAAGAGGGAAGCTCTGCCTTCCCAAAGTTGCAAGATGCAGCAGCTGCCATCTGTTACACAATTAAGAAAATAAACAGCTACCTGTACTTGAAACAACTGCTCTGTTCTATCATGATTCCAGCTTAATCAGAGCATCTGGCAATTTATTTTAAAATGTGACGTGTCTAACATACCATTCTGTGTATTTCAATTCACTGTATCTGCATATTGACTGCTTTTATCATGAGGATATTTATCTGGAGGAACATTAAAAGCTAATGATCCTGTAAGTGGAAAAAAAGCTTTTTTTTTTTTGCTTTTTTTTTTTTTCTGTTTTAAAGGAACCATTTAGAATCGCATAGCTTTCATGCATATTTTCCTGAAGAGGCCTGCCTATGAACAGCAGTGTGAAATACAAAGGCTGCTCCAAAAGTAATGCCTGCTATGATATGACATGGGTGATACGGCAGCAGAGGTTGAACCTTCCCACCAATACTACATTTTGGTGCTGTGTGACTGATGGCCAGTCTCAGCAGAGGGCCAGTCTGCCACAGCAGCATCTGATAGGAGAGTGCACACGAAGCAAAAGGATGGAACTGAATTCCTCCATGTGCAAACAATGGCACCCAGAGACATTCATTGCTGAACATTTACAGAGATGAAACAGTGGATATGAGCACAGTGTGGTGGTAGGTGGTGCTTTTCAGCAGTGCTGACAACGGGTCACCTCCACTGCTGCAGATCTGTACAGGAGTGGCATGCAGGCTCTCATTCATCGCTTGGGAAAATGCATTGCTGATGGTGGTGACTGTGTTGGAAAAACAGTGTTTTGTAGCTGAGAATTTGCTCTATCAAATAGTGTTATCATGCTTTTTGTAGCTGTTTTAGTTTCCATGGAAATAAATAGGAGCCTGTACTTTCAGAGCAACCTACATATTTTGTTACAATATTTTTCATATTACTGTGTGTGTGCATAGACCTGTTGTGTGTTCTGACACCAGCTTTCCTTTATATAAATATTCCATGCAGGTTACAGGAGCGAGGAGAGGAATGAGGTGAATAAACAACCCTAAAGCCCAGCACCTTCTGTAAGCCAAGTCAAGCCTAAGATCAGCCTGAGATTCAGTCTCCCCTCAGCTGCGCAGAAAATTCAGCCGTGCAAAAAATGCCTTCTGTTTTATTCCTGCACAGAAACCAACACTAGCATGTTCTCTGCACTGAATGAAACAAAGATGTCATGAATTAACAGTGAACCAAATAACCAGGTCATTCTTGTGTGCTTGATTTTACAGCTTTTGAATATTTCACGTATATAACTTGTGGAACTTTTTCCCCAAGTTTTATCACCTCTATGACAAGGAAAACACAGCAAGATTTCTAGCAACATTTTGCTAAGCTGGTAGAAAAGTAACAAACCACACGAAGTTCCTTATTTTGACACATTATATAAATCTGACTTCTAAGCGCAGCTAACAGAGGAAGCTTACAATCAAGCTTGCAGTTTTAAGCATAAAGATGACAGAAAATATAAGTAGGGCTTGTGCAGGACAGTGAAACTTGCCTGTTTGGCAAAGATCATCCAGAGACTGGGAGTCAAGATTCTCTGTGTCTTACACTTAAAACTTCCATACATTCATATAGAAAATACATACTATATATACACACTTGCTACTTGGTTGTAGTAGCCACGTGTCACAATTAGCAGCCATTTAGATTGTTTTCTCACAGACAGGAGCACACACGTACAGACTGTTTGCTATTACAGATGTAAGAGACACAGCTCCGAAACCATAGCTGTATTGTGATGGAACATATATCAGATAGCATATGCTTCAAATAACACACCAACACAGTCCACTGTTCAGAACAGAATCTCTCGGTTTGCAATCAAGATTACTATCTAAAAGTTCATTTTAAAATAAACGAAAATTATAGTAACTGGAAAAGAATACAAACAACGAGTTGTACTTCAGTGTAACCGCACAAAGACATGACTGAAGACATCTTCTTTGATATTCCACAACAAAGCCATCAGCTATAAAGGTTTTCAAGAAACTAAACAGCAGCAACTCATTTTAATATTCTTCTTCATCCTAACTGGGAAACATTTCATAATGAGACAGGAAACCAGATATGAGCTACAAAGAATGACAGAACAATTAAGCTCTTTGCTGGCCTTCCATCTCTTGCTCTGTACAAAGACTTACACAGCTCGTTCTTTAAACAAGCACAGTTGTATTCTGTTACCCAAATGAATGTTGACAGTTAATTTTTTTTATATATAACTTGAAGAAATGTTTTAATTTAACTTGGCTAAAAATTACAGTTCAGTTAAATTCTGGATAGTATTACAAATTCTTTCCATTATTTTTAACAATGCTCCCTTATTGCATAGTCAGAATATCAAGTTACAGAAAAATACACCCGATTGATATTTCTAAGGATTTATTTAAAGTTAAAGCGTGAGCTGTTCTTCTGTGTTTACAACTAAGGACAGATAAAACCCATCTGATTACAGGTCTTCCTTTCATGCTTTTCAGCACTTGAGCTTAGAATCACAGAGGTTGGAAAAGACCACTATGATCACCAAGCCCAACCCCAGCCCATCCCCACCATGTCCACTGACACGTCTCTCAGTGCCACATCTCCACTGTTCTTGAACACCTCCCTGCACGGTGACTCCATCACCTCCCTGGGCAGCTCTGCCTCTGCCTCTCTGCTCTTTTGGAGA